CCTTCAATTGACGATCAAGTGTAAATTGCAGCCCCTGAAAAAAGAGAGAAAAGTCTCTGATGAAGCAGTATTCAAACCGCTGCACTCCCCTGGAGTCAAACTAGAGAACATCGACTAGATTCTGGCTTTAAGCCTTGTCTTCCAATAGTTTGGTGATAGATACGATGACTCAGCGTAATGGTAGTGCCAGGGCACTCCTGCATGGAATCAACCCGATTCCCTTGACCTCCCTCTCCCTAACAGTTTTCACTGGGTTTTCTAGATTCCATAAAGTTATACGCATGTAATGGTAAAGAGGTAAAGTTTGCTTATCGGCAGATGGGTGGAAGAAATTTCGCCGATAATAGCTATTTTCGGGCGTTTCATCAAATTGTAACGCCAAAAACTTATCTGCAATTTTCTCTCCTTGTCCTAAAATTGTCAATCATACCATTTATTTGGTAATCCAGGTGTACATCTCAACAAAACTCACTGTTTTTCAACTTTTGCATTAATGTCAAGTGTCATTCTTTCATCAGGACTCCCTTACTCAGACTTATCGGCCTCTACCCAGGGGGTTTTCCCCGATGTCCCTCCATGACCTATAATAAAATTTTCGATCGGAGCCAATTAATTAGTTTTTACAGGGAGAAAACGACTGATTACCAGCATTAAGATAAAAACTTAGTTAAGCATCTACTAAGGAAATAACTTCTCCCCATTACAAGAAAGATCACCGTCACTTGCACCAACATCACAGTTGACATTCCTAACCACTTTTGCTAATGAAATTGGTAAACGATATTTGCATGCTGACTGTTAGGCATGTCCCAGTGGAGTTTGATGATAGCCACCATGATTGAGCCCATCTCTCTCCTCCCCCCCCCCCCATTCTACAAGAATCTTCTGTTTGAACTGCACTCCTGCAGAATGCCTCTTCTACCTCTTCTGTATCCAGGTGTTTAATCCAATTGCAAAGGTGTATCATGAAAATTTTCTTAATTTTTCCTACCATTGAATATATAATGACAAGGAAGGCTTACTTCAGTAATACAAGAAAATTAACATTACGAACAATCTTTTCACTAGGGATCAGCAAACACTTGTGATGGTTTGCTTGAAGGACCAAACGAGTCTTCATCAGAACGAGGTATGTTTATTAAGTAATCATAATCTTGTTATACTTGGTTTTCGCCCGCTCCGATGGCACCAAGGATTTTCTCAAAGTCCGAGTGGAAAGCTCTTGTAATGGACTTTACCACTGTTACGTCTTCGCTAGACGGGTGTTCCATTACCTCTGGATTCCTTTACAGCACATTTATGGTATACATGTTTTACAGGTTTTTCCAGACAAATTTATGCGTCGTGAAATACTTGCTCTCGTCGTTCACTGCACTTTCATGGAGGATGGGTGTGTTTGGAAGGGAGAAGTGAGATATTTAGAGGTATGTAATTTTTTGGTATCCTTGGATAGACAGTTGTGATTCTTCAAGCATGGCGTGTACATATTTTCGCATTTATTTGATGATTACATGAATCACGTTTGCATCCATTCGTACGCATCGTTGAAACTTTTACATTCATCCCCTTCACGTTTCCACCGTCAGCTAACATCCATTGTAATAAGAACAAGTCACACTTGACATCTCATTGGCTGAAACCTTGATTCACTGGTCTAGAGACACATTCAGTTTAGAATTTTAATTTTAAATTTCCTTGCGAATCGTTTTAAAGATCGCGTAGTTGTACGTGTGTCTGCCTTGCCTGAGAAGACAATGCTATTATTCTTCATACTAGCTGTCACAAGGTATGTTTTTTTTAAGGGGTCTTAAATCTTGTAGAGCCATCCACATATTTTTATCCCTTCCCCGAGTAGCATTGACTGGATGCCATGTACAGCCTCCCTCCCCATCTTTCTTTATCGCCTGCATGGATTATTGTATCACAACATTGCTGTTAATTGAAATGGAGGAATTGCTAATTTCAGTAACGTTACGATAACTATACTTATTAAATAGCATAAGGCTCAATGCTTGTGATAATGACCAAACAAAAGCTCAAACTTTTTTCTTTTTGGCCTGAGCTAGTTAGTGTTACTGTGCTCTTCTGAAGCTGACGGAAAAATTTCCAGAGGACTCGCATGATATGGGCGTATCTTGCCGTGAACGATCTACTTTCCTCTAATGCTCTTTCAATCTTTATTTGCGACCCTCCACGGGGTTCCAGGGAATAAGGTGAACGCACGCACACGGCACGTTATAACACGCTCGCACGCTAATGGCATGACACGCTTACCGTGCAGATATGCGCATAAAAACAATTGATTTTGGAAGGCGTGTTGCAGCCATTGTTCATATCTAGCTAACACGGAAGAGCTTTTGTTTTTCTTTCCTTTTTTCTAACACACTCAGTTCCTTTGTTCCTTAACACGCAAGCTTATCTTGTACAACCCAGCTTACTTTGTAAGTTGTGTTTGTCAGATTCCTAATAAACTATTGTGAGAATGGTGTTTGTACAGAATATAAGCGAAAACGAAGATCTTCTGTCCTATCCGAAAGTTGCTATAAAAAACGAAATTTTCATGGAAAATTACGGCTCTTTCTCTGTGAACACAACGTGTTTCACAAGGTCCAGAGGATCTCCGTTTGAACACATGAATTACTTTTTTTAAACTTAACTCTTACCTCGTAAAATATAAATCCTTATCGCTTGACGCAGTTAATAAGCCTAGTACCGAATCTTTGTGAATCCTTTAGCAACAGATTTCCGGCTCCATGTCCCCTACGCGGTTGCAGCTCGTCACTCTTGCAAACCGGCATTTTTAAAATAAATAACCGCTTGTTAGCCGGCGCAAAAAGAAGCTTTCCAAGCGAAGCCGCGTATTAATTACTGTACACCGTTCTTGGCATCTTACGAGCCCCTAGTCTTTAGCACTGCGATCTATACCTTGCGTAACGTAACTGCAACGAGAGGATAACAAAATTAAAATTGTCGAAGGTATTAACAAGTTTCTTAGTTTGCAAACTGAGCAACCTTTAAGTTTCTCCTCTGGATGACGCTACCACTGCACCACACGGACTGTCGTACTTGTCGGTTTACAAATTTAACAACATAAATAAATAATGCCTAGGAGACTAGCAGAACAGACAAACACGGTGAGAACACAGTTTACCCTCAACGAAGTAGCCATTTGCTTTGCATCATACAGGTTTGCTCTTATTATTTTGAAAACTTGTACAAGGCTCGCTGCCTTCAAAAGTTTATGCACGATCTCAAGAGTAGAGGACTTTGCTCGTTCGGTCCGTGTTTTGCAAGCTGTTTTAAGAAAATGAGAAATTCGAAAATGAAGGAACAAACCAAAAAGTTTTAAATGATGGACAACAAGTCGAGATAATCCTTTATGTTTGGCGAATTGGTTGCACTGGATACTGAGTATCGTATATCGGCTAGGCGTATTGGTGAGCTAAAAAGCCTTAAAGCTTAGGACGTACTTTTTGTACAAATCGAAAGCAGCTTTAACTTTAAGAGGCGTGTTAAAAATTGGCACGGTCACTGTGCTATATCGTGCAAAGTCGCGAACAAGAGCTTAACACGTTCCTTTGTTTCTACCTTGCGAAGCAAGATAATAGCTGCGAAGTTGATGAGGCAAGTAACCTACACGCGGCTAACGTATCAAAAGCTCGTTCTGTTGTTTTGAGGTGCTAGAGTACCGTGAGCGTGCGTTCACCTTATTCCCTGAAATCCCGTAGAGGGTCACATTTATTACTTTATTAGACAACATGTTTCTTCGGTTTTGTACTTATTGTTGACTTACAGAGCCATATGAACTCATGCGAGTTCCTGAAGATACCCTGTGTACATCCTGAGTGTGGCATGCTAGTAAAAAAATCTGATCTCACTTCACATTTGGAAAACGAATGCATGTTCCGACTGGAGAAGTGTACATTTTGTCAAAGACAGATAGTCTTGTTCAGGATTAAGGTAAATCATTGCGAACATTATAGAACCAAACTCACTCTCTGCTCTCTGCCTAGCTTTCCTCGTGATTGGTGATTTATTAACCATCCCGTTGAATATAGAAACCTCCACTTATCAAGGGGAACCGATACTTTTGCAGGCACCTTTTACATACCACTTGGTATTATGTATCTTCATTTAAACTATTCATTGATGATTTGTAGAATCTCACAATCTAAGTGGTCTCAAGGTGATTCTCTGACTGACTGACTTTAGAGGGAACTTGAACTCATCCTGTAGTTCTATTTCAATAATTAACGGTTCGAAGTATGATTGCCACGGTTGTCCATTTTGGCTTATTGTGACTCAAAACAAGAAAGCCTTAGGGCCTATTAAAACTTGGGTACCACTTCCAATTAGATTTATAGGTTAATCTTCTTATGTTACAATCCCTCAGGGTACCTTCGTCAAAATTGCTTTAAAACTGGGTACTCAATAGAGAGAGTAAGATTTTAACGGTTCATTGCTTACTATGCCAATCTTTTTACTCAGGAGTTTTCTTTGGACCCCAAAAATACTTTTTATCGGACTATTTTGCGCCGATCGATTTGAAACTTCAACATCTCGTCCCCGGGCAACTCACGGGCATTTGGTTGTCGCCCGTACCAGGAGGGGGGTTTGAGGAATTTGAACTTTACCTGGGTAGGGTAAGGCATTCGAACCGAAAGTAACAAATATTTCTAGCGAAATACACGTGTTTTAATGGAGGATTTTTAAGGTAGAGTCTGCTTCCGGGAGTGAATGGCCTCGAGGACAATTTTTATATCGTAAAATGATGCTTATTGACGAAAACCTCAAAAGCAGTACCAAAAACTAATATGTGACTTTTCTAAATTCACACAAAGAATCGTACAATATTGGGCGGAAATTTGAACGATTTAATTTTGAAAATTCCAAATGCCCCAGGGTTTGCCCGGAGAGGGATGTTGAAGCTCCAACTTGATCGAGTTGATCGAGTCGAATACTTACAGTTGTAAGTATTTGCACTTTTATTCAGCATTTTTTTTGATCAGTTCTTAAAAAGTTGTATCCGTAGTACATCGTCGTTTTTCAAGTGATCCACAGAAGTCCGATATGTCGAGCCCCTCTTGATAAGACCAGGGCTTAATTCTTTACATTGTAACAAAAATTAAGGGGACACCGCACTCCAGAGAGGTCCACTGTTGCATAATTTCCCACGAGCACCTCCTAAAGGAGACGGATGAAATAATGGTCATTCTTAATTAGTTTATCAAAAATAACTTAGAACCACACATTGCTCAGCCAAATAAAAATGCCAATGAGGCAATTTTTTAAGGACCTGAGGACCTCAAACCTACGTCACATAGGTTTAAAAATTGCTTTCCCCGTCATCGATATGGTAGTTTGTTAAAACTTATATTTTTTTCTACAGCAACACCAGGATACAGAGTGTCCTGCATATCCAGTTACGTGTGAAAAATGCAATAAAGATGGAATTCTTCGAGGCAAAGTAAGAACACGTACCTTCTGATAAAAAATGTTTTGTAATAATCCTAAGGTAATTCATATACAGCATTTAAAAACAAACACAAAGGCAATTAAACCTTTTGTATGATTAAAGGATTCCAGATACCAACAATTTGGGCAATAAGAAATAATTGAAAACAATTTTAAATATTGTTATTGGTTGTCAATTGCTTTAACTCTTGTGCCTCAGACCCTATTTTCCAGTTTTATTAACTATTTTAAGAGATTTTGGGGCATCATTAGGGGAATGTGGGTTTTCTGATAGCTTGCTAACTCTTCCACTCCCCAGATCTCACTAAGATGTCATTAACAATTCTCCCTGCTGCCTGCCATAAATTACTTATGATGTCAGTTGGAGAATTTGGTTGCGGATCAACTTGTAGTTCCCTAATTGAGTTTTCTTCTTTATTCTCGACACTTGTATGCTTGATACTGTATTGATAATGTAAAGAGAAATTCCGTCTTGATCACTCTTGGGAGTTAAAGGGTTAAGCAGTGAGCGACCTCTCGGAATTCGGTTCATAGAATTCTGTTCATAATGGGGCTCTGTGGCAACTGATTTATGCACCAGCATTTAATGAGACTATGTTTATTAGTCTGCTTTCATGGTGTTACCATCTGCAACACGCCACAAAAAAAATTAGGAGCACAGCCAGCTTTAAATCTTGAATGAAGCGAATAATTAAAAAGCTGTGTGATACATGTAAGCAATCTTACCTTTCGCACGTACAGAGCAGCAGAGATACGGAGGGGAGGGGGTTGGCTTAAATGTGCTCAAGAAGACTTTAGTCATCCTCATTCAATACTGATCGACTGGTTCTATGATCTGGACATGGGGAGGGAGAAGAATGGCTTAGCATTTTTTTTTTTAGGTCATAAATATTACAGAAAGTTGAATTATTTTAAATTCGAGATCTAACGTACAGTAAATGGGGATAAATAGAGGCCTGCTTTGCATTAACCGTTGCAAAAAAAATGGTAGTTCTGTGACTAACTTGGGCTTTGGTACGCTTGAACAGTTATGATAAAATTATTCTTCTGTTTGAAGTTGAAAGATCACCAGAATCCTCTCCTGGGCGACTGTGAAGCCGCACAGGGACCATGCCCGTTCTCTCAGATTGGCTGCCCGAAAACGGATGTAAGTACACACTCGAATTTTGTGACTTAAACTATTGTTAGTTATTCTATTAGTACTTAACTAATATTAACGTAAAATTTTTCACAACACACCTCTATAAAAAAAGGTCCTCAATAAGGCCCTAAGCAATCAGATATAAACGAGAGCATTTACCAGGTACGAGCAGCAGTTGTGTTTACTTTATGTGTCTATCAATTCGAAGCTTCAACATCTCCCCCGGGCAAACCCCCGGGTATTTGAACTTTTGAAGATTAAATCGTTTTCAATCCCCCCTCCTCCACCTAGTTCAAAATTGCGCTCAAATGCGCCACCCAATATTGAGCGATTCTTTGTGAGATCGACAAATGTTTTAGAATTAAGCAAAGTCACGGATTAGTTTTTGGTGCTGCTGTTGCGTTATTTGCTTGTAAGCGTCATTCTACAGTGTGAAACATGTCTTTTTCATCCATTTGCCTACGGAAGCAGACTCTTTACCTCCATTAGAACACGTGTATAACGTTGGATAGACTCGACACTTCCGGTTCAAATTCCTGACCCCACCCAGCAAGGTTAAAGTTCCCCACCTCCCGGTACGGACGATGATCAAATGCCCGTCGGTTGTCCGGTGGGGGATGTTAAAGCTTCGAATTGATCGGCGCATTACTCGATAAACGCAATGCATTTGTCGTAAGCAGAGGAAAAAGAGATAAACTCTGCAGCCTTTTATAGAGCCTGAAGCTATATCGCTCATTACCTCAGGGGACAGAGCTGGTGTGGCGGAGAGTTGTAAGTTCGACACCAGTCGGGAATGAACAGTTTTGTTTGCAATGTACGAACATTTGAATGAGACAAGACACAGTTCACTAAGCAATTCATCACGCAGTCACAATAGGGATTTCGAAATTAAATTTATTGCTATGAAAAATGAGTCAGGCTGCTGACTCTCAGGATATTAACTAATTTGTTGTCGCAGTCAACTGTTCGGTAGCATCTCATAGTGATGCATTGTATCTTCTGCGATCTGACAGGTTCTAAACCAAAAGGAAAAGAAACAGCATTTGGAGAAGGCAAATGCTCAACACAATGTTCTGCTGCTTCAGTTTGCAATTAAGATGAGCAAAGAATTGGAGGCCACTCTTACCCGTGACCCGCGGATCACGTCCAGAAGCCCTCAACTTTTGACAAACCACGACAGTCTAATCCAAGATCTACAGAATCAACTACAAATCAGAGCTGACGACCTCAGAAGCCTTCAAGGTAAACTACAAGAAAATAGTAGCCGCATAACTACTTTGGAGCGAAAGTTGGCATCATGTACTGTCTCTGGGGCAGCATCGTCGGAACAGCGAGTTCCAAATGACGCCAGTTTATCAAGTGATGAGTATACAAGGAGAGTTACAAATATTGAGAACAGGACCGCTGACCACGAGGTTCTTCTAGTCGAGAACAATCGCACAATGGAGGAAGTTAGACGTGATGTGGGTAACATTAGAAGGCAACTTGACACCACCCAGGAGAGCACCAGAAGGCATGACCGAAGGATTGAATCTATAGAGCACACACTGGCACTCAGAAATGTAACACTGGCTGATTTGGAGGAATACGTAAAACAGCAAGAGTTCTCAAGCTACGATGGCCAGCTTTTGTGGAGGATTTCTGATTATGCTCGCAAACGAAACGACGCAGTGACGGGACAGCAAGTCTCCTTCTACAGCCCGTGTTTCTTCACTAGCCGCTATGGCTACAAAATGTGCGCCCGCATTTACCTGAACGGGGATGGAATGGGTAGAGGAACGCACATCTCGATCTTCTTTGTGGTCATGCGCGGTCAGTATGATGCACTTCTCCGTTGGCCATTCAGACAGAAGGTCACCTTTATGTTACTGGACCAGGATAACGTGGAACACGTGATTGACGCCTTCAGACCTGATCCGAACAGCTCATCCTTTCAGAGGCCAAGAAGAGAAACAAACATCGCCAGTGGGTGTCCAATGTTCTGCTCGCTTGCTGAGCTGAACAATCACGCATATGTTCGGGACGACACCATGTTCCTAAAAATAATTGTAGATACTTCTGATTTGTAGATATGAATGTCCCCTAAATTTAAGGATAAATTTACAGGGGTTTCGGCTCACCTTCTTTCTTCGATTTCACTCGCTCATAATGCCTCGAACTCGTACATTTCGCTTGCCATTTAGGGTAGAGGGATCACTTCTGGTAAAACGAAGAAGACAGATGCACTCCTTCATGCAGTACATATTCTGATTTTTGTCCAGGCATTCCACAGAGCTACCTTGCAGAAACCAGACGGTTTCTAGTTGATGTCGGTCAACGATCATGAACAGATGACAGCGTCGTGCTGCAAGTGAAGATCACGTGATGGTAAGTGATAGCGTTAAAGCCAGGGTTGGTCGTTGTCGGTGGAGGCGCATTAAATACGTATTCGATACCAAGGCATTAAGTCGGGTGCGTTTACCTGGAAATGCGTTTTATCCTTGGGCAAGGTTATTTACTCCCTGTTGCCCCTCTTTTCCCAAGAGTTTTATGGGTTTCATAAGAACTTAAAAGTATCCTGGCAATGATAACGCCAATTAGCTAACCTGTGGTAAATTAAATGAGCAGGCAATTCCGTTTCAGCGTTTGACTAAACAAAATATGACGACCTAGGACAGGCTGACAGCAGTGCGAGTCCTATTATTAGAAGTTCGTGATCAATTCACGCAAGTAATAGCCAATACATTCTCAATATACCCCTTTTACTACATGACATGATAACGCATGATGGGGTTTCATGTTTTCAGTTAGCAGATCCCCCCCCCCGAAGTTTTTTTTTTTAAAGCCAATTACAGTGTATATAGAGGGTCAAAAGAAACATTTTTCATCTATTGCGAAGATGAATAATGGAGCAAAATTATAAAGAAAGGGTGAATAAGGTTTTTTTTACAATCATGTAGGGAAAAAAATGAAAAAAAAAAGACATTTATTTTTAGGAATTAATTCTACACCCTGTGTTTAGCAGCTAAGTTACTCTATGGACAGAACAATTGTGGAATGCAGGCCACACAGTGTTATTGGCAAACACTTTATTGGAGAGAAATATTTTGAATAAGTACAATCGTTCTTTTCATATACTGTACTTGGTTTACTTAAGTGGTTTTTGACTGATATTTTTTCTCAATAAGTTAACCTAATTGGAGATGTTGGCGAGTGTAACATCAGTGAGAGTGAAGGACTAACTCCACTTAATCATGAGCATATTTAACAATTAGGTTGTAGATAAAAGTGGGGAGGGAAAAATAGAATTTTTTTATGTTCTGCTGATGTACATAAAAGCTTTAGTTTTATCATCATATTGCGAATATTTTTTAGCAGCCATTGATAGAAGAAATCAACAATTTTGTTTTGTAGCATTGTCTTATTGACAAATATTTTATCATATTTTAACATTTTATGAGTATACACTTTAGCGTCTTATTTATTAATTATGCTCATAATTATATAATTTAAAAATTTGAGGGAGCTCTTTGTAGCACACTTGTAAATAATCTGATTGGTAGTCGGACCGGTTTGGTCCCCTCCCCCACCCCCCACCCCCTCCCTTTTGGTGCTCAGACTTTTTCTTCGCACATTTCTCTCTCTATTACCAAAGCTGGCTGGAGACTTGCTAAAGCTTAATTCCTTAAAACAGCCATGTTGATATATATGAATATATTGTGCGGAATAGACTAACTCACATGATGAATTGCGGAAGAATTCCGCAAAAAAAGAGAGAGGTTAGCATTACGTACTTATATGTCCCCCCTTGGTATACCTCAGGAAAAAGATATAAGCTTAAGAATGATGTTTGTGGGGTTGATATATAAAACTCGTACGGTATTGTATGAGCAAACTGTTATTGCTTTAGAAGCAAGTAGTTTCTTCTTTCTCTCTTATGTGAGTTGTATGAGTTTGAGCGGTTATTTTTTTGTTTCCTCCCCTGCCGGGAACTCTCAGAAGTGTTAAGCACAGTACTACGTCAAGATTGTTGATAGGCGTCTGGTAAGCGCGTGGAATTAGCATTCAAATGGGCGCAAAATTATTTTGGCCGCCGGAAACATGATTGCATAAAACAGACGCGTGAGGACTGCTACGCTAAATGTTTGAGTCGCTCTTGAAGCATACGAAGCTAATTTTAAAACTTTAGACAAGAATTCCCGTATGAAGGCCGTTCGCTATTGCGTGAGCAGGGCCGGAAAAAAAAGGCGGCTGTTATATGACTAGAAGCCTAGTTGGGACGGACTCAGTCATGAAATCAGGCAAAATAATTTCGCGTCCTGCCATCCCGCTCAGGCAACAAGTGTATAGATCTACGAAAAAAACAAACCTTCTCTAAACAAAAGCGAAAAATTGAGGAGAAAATCCAAAACTAGGACGTAGGTTTTTTTAAAGTTTTATTAACATCAGACGTGTTTGAAGTGAAAGAAAATGCGTTTTCTCATTGAAATTCAAATATGTTATCTAATAAACAGGCTACGAGAAAGGACGAGCTTATCCGCTAGAGATTACCTTGATTCAAAACTGAATTTTCCAAACGAATTTACAAGGAAATGTATAGCAGTTAGTTGGGAGAATAAATAATTGGATCTTAGGAGTTGAAGGGTTAAATTTTCTCGGTCCTGGTTCGATCTTACTATCATTCAAAAAAAAAAAAAATGGCCGCTGGTATGCGTAAGATGCGCAGAACCGCGAAAAGCCTGAATGGAAGAAAACATTCGGGAGTAAGGGGAATAAGCATATTATTATGTCATTATCCCTTCCTTAGTCATGGATGGTTGATAAATCTAAATCCATGTAATACTATTTCTAAATATGGTTTTGTGTTCTGGTTTGGTAATCATAATCTACAATTTGTAGTTATCTTTTTATCCTATGGATATAGAAAAATAGCTTGCTTAACTTTTATATCAGTTATCTTATTCTCTTGATTTAAAATTTCTAAGCTTATAATCGATAATCAATCATTGAAGGAACTAGTTGTTGGTAGTGTCCATATGAGTAAGGAATGTAGATGATCATAGATAGATATAAGTATTTACCACCTTACAAGATAGAGGGCAACCTTACTAAATGCTTATTAGCTTCCAGTGTTCATTTAACGTCAATGAACTGTAAAACGCAGGAATCAGCAGATTCAAGATAATGTAAATTGTTTATATTCTCTTGGCTGAATGAAATTCTGTCTTTGAACAACAACGCCAAAGCAATGAGAGCAACCTTGCTAAAAAACATTCGCCATCAATGAAATTAGAAATTTTGTCAGCAAAATTCAGCCTTTTTTAATGTTTTCTAAATTTTGATAATTGCCCGGGGCAATTACCAAAATTGATGAAAAATGTCCTCTGTCTCAGCCAATAAATATGTAGTAATTTTGCCCTCTGTGTTATAAATGAAAGAGAGTTTTGCCCTTAATATCATAAACAAGTAATCGCTTGTTTCCTCGTAAAAATTAAGGATTAGTATCATCTACTCGAGAAATTTCTACAACTTCTGAAACAAGCGTGATATTAATCCTTAACCCTTTACACCCTAACATCAATGTGCATTATCTCCATACTGTTCTCTTTACAATTCCTAAGGAACTGACAAGGAGAATTTGTTTAACAATCAAGCGCTTGTTTAGTTGTTGATCATTTCCTTTATTCTCATGATCTCAATGTTTGTTTTAGGGATGATACTGGTAGGAGAAAATAGTTACTAATCACTTTCGGGGGTTAAAGGATTAATTTTTATTCGGCCTCATGCGAATACCTATATCTAAGGAAAAGTAAAAGTCGAAGTGAAAGCAATGAAGTTTTATTCAATGATATTGTGTCAATTCATTGATTTGGAAAATTGCAGTATACTTGTTCGCATTTAATTACATTAATTAAGCGGATATTGTTAGAAATCATTGTAATTTTTAGTATTTTCTTACTTTCTTAATATTATTAAGAGTATACTATTGACGACTTGTCGTCTATGTAATGCTTCAATGCAATTTTTTTTAAAGCAATGATTTTCTTGGAGTAGCTTGTGCTAGATAAAATTATAAATTAATGCCGGGAATTATTCTAGAAATAAAATGAGAAAATGCCGGGACCCAAGAGATCCATTAAGATCACTGAACACTTCACGTGCACCTCTGCCAATGTCATCTACTGCATAACTTGCACTTATTGCAAAAAATTAAACATCGGTGAAACAGGGAGACGACTAGGTGAACGATTTCGAGAAAACCTTCGCGAGGTAGAAAGAAACGACAAGGACACATTCAAACCAGTCGCTAGACACTTTAATCTCCTAATCATTCTAAACAGCATATGGCAATTTCCGGCCTTTCCCTAGATCTAGGCAGTTCGGAAAGCTGGAAAACTCTAGAACAAAAATTTTTCTTTCAAATCGGCATCCTTTATCCCCACGGTATCAACGAGCGCTTTTCATTCAACTAATTTAATCTTGTTTTCTCGTTACCATATCCTCACCAATAGCGTAGCTCTATTTTCTGCATTTAAAAACCGCTCACAATCCACAATTCCTCTAGTCGCTCTGACGAGGGGCTAACGATTGAAACGTCAGCTTTTAAACTCCTCGCGGTGGCCAATTTACGTTATCAACCCAATTGATAATATAAAATTACCCTGTTATACTCTCCCACCGACGCAGCACCACAGTTTCTTTTCCTTTATCCATTTGAAACAGATATGAGCTGTCTGACAAGGTCTTGAGTGTGATGCACAACTTCACTCAAGCCCTTATTATAAGTGCTCCGAACAGAGATTGGTTTTGAACTGGGAGCCCTCTACAGCGTGTGAAAATGTCGACTTCCAATACCAGTCTTTTTTTTTCTGAATATCTTGTTTTGATGCGCTGGAGGGGTTTTTGGTGACACAATTGGGTGTTGTTGTTTTCGTTAAATCATTTGCGTAATAGCCACGTTCTAGAAATGAATAATATAAATTATTAAAGTTTACAAACTTTGTAAAGTTTGTCTTCTTACAGAGGAAGGTGCTCACATGCTTTTTGTGCGATAGAAGGATAGTGTCTTGTTATTGGGTTCTTTCTGCGCCCAAACCTTTTAAAATTATTACAATTAAGAATGTTAACTAGCTATATAAGAATTTTCGAGAAAATTTAGCTAATTTTAGCTATTAGGTGTGTTTTTTGGTTGCTGTTAGTATCACTGAACAGTTCTAGAGAAAAAATAGATATATGGCGAAGATTGAATTTTCAGAACTAAATTTGTCAAGAACTTTAATAAAGACGAAGGAAAAAAGGAACCTGAAAGGTAAACAAAATTGTATTTATTTACTATGTTT